CCCCTTAGCTCCTCTCTCCCCCACTGCACATTGCAAAGCCAGCTTAAGTTCTTGGGGCACAGAGTCATCTTAAAGGCTCTTGATTAATATATTTTAGATGAGACACAACAGCTGAAAGTGCGGCAGAGGCCAAGATACACCTGGACATCTCCCTTGCTCTCCCCAGTCTGTTAAATTGCTGTTTCTGGTTAGAAAAAATACCTGGGTCTTTCGTGGTGACTAAAAGCACACTCTTAACGGCTCAGTTCTTCCAAGCCACCCAAGCCTTGCCTGCCTATTGGCACACTGAAATGGCCCACGAATCAAAATTTGCTGGAGAAAGAGGAATGTCACCAAATTCTGTGGAAATTTTGAAAGCTGACTTCATTCCGACTTGAAACAAAGGATTTTTTTTTTTTTTTTTTTTTGTTAATTTCCTGCTTTTCAGGAAGTCTGAGATTGTTTCCAGTGAACGTGGGATTTCACAGAGTGAGGCAAGTAGGATGTAGAATGGGGGAGTCCACGACTTGTGGCACTCTGCTGAGGAAAGCTGCCCAGAGGTGCAGAGTGTGGCCACCCCCGTGGGGTCCCTCACACCTCCTCAAGGCCTCTCCAGGAGTCATCCAAAACTAACAGTTCCATAAATCAGCATCTTTCGTCAAGCAGTTGTTTCTTAGGAAAGCTCTGACCAGTTTCCAAGCAGTGACTCCATAAGCCAGACATCCCAGGGCAAGCAACAAGAACTAATGGGATAAGTGAATCTTTAGAAAAGAGACTGTTGCCTATAAACCTAAAAAGCTGGATTGCCTTTTGCCTTCAGGGCAAGCAGAATTCAGTCACTAGGGTCAGAGAAAGACAACTTCAAAATCCAGCAAACTTGACACACTGTCAACCAAGCAAGAAAATGAACTTTTTTTTTCCCCCCCCCACAACAGGCCAAACTCTGTCATCCTTGCAATGGCACTGAATATAGCTGCAAAGGCTAGCGTTTCATTTAACTTGATACTCATATTGCTAACCCTGATGTGTCATCTGCCAACCTCCGTAATATAAAATACTTTGGGTTACTTAACAGATTTCTGAGCAAGTCTGTCTGATTTCTGCAGGAGCCTTGGATAGTATCACCAAGTATTTCCAGATGTCCCTGGAGGCAGAGGAGAGGGTCAATGCCTCCACTGTTCACCCCGATAGCGCCGTGGAGCTGTCAGCACAAACGCGGCAGGAAGTGGAAGACTTAATCAATGAGAAAGAGGCCCAGTTCAAGGCTAAACAAGAGGAGCAGTCGCGCCTTCTGGATGAACTCGCAGGCAAGCTGCAGAGCCTGGATCTTTCCAAAGTGGCTGAGAAGGTATGTGGCTGAGAATCGCTGGTATAAAACCTGTAGCAAAATAAAGTCGGGTTTGTAAAGAAGTGACGGGCGGGGAGGAACTGTTTAGAGCTTCATAGTGTGAGATACAGTTTGTTCATGAAAAGTGCACATTTCTTGGATGACAGCGTATTTTGTGGGCTGGAACAGAGCTGTTTAATTGGTGGGCTCTGAGACCTGCTGGCTTTCAGGCACCAGCCTTTCATGTTGCTCTCCCTTCTACCCTTCCCAGCCCTGACAAAGCACCCATCTTTTCATCACCCTGGCTCCAACCCAAAGCCCTTTGCTGTGGACAGAGCTCCCACGTGCAGAAAAGTGCAGTGAGTCTGCTGGACTGAGAGCCATCCTCTTAAGCCTGTCCTCAGTTCATGTGCTTTCTTTCTCTAGGCTACTTTTGTCCTTTTTGCAGCTCTGTAGGGTACACGCTATGCCTGTGCAGCACCCAGTCAGGCAGCGCTTCTACTCATACCAGCGGGCCACCCTCCTCAGCATCACCGCGCTCCCATCCTCGTGCTTGAGACAAAGCAGAACTTACAGGGAGCTGAAGTCAAAAGGGTATTTTTTCTGTTGAAGCTGCCTGCTCATTTGTAAATATGATCAAGGGTGGCTTTTTCTTGGGAGAGGCTGGGTGTTCCCTCGGTTTCGCTTTGAAGTCGGCCAGCTGCATTCAGAGAACAATCCCCCATGAAGGCGGGCTGCAGGGGACTGCTCATTAACTCCCCTGGGCAGGCCAGGCCTGTGTTCGAGGATGAGTTCTTCACACGCTGAATTGTTCCCTGTCCTTTACAACTATGGTCATCCCTCCCGACTCCCCCAGCCCTCCTTTTTTCACGGGAGGGAAAAAAGAGACATCTTTATGTTTCGCTTCCCTTCCCCTACATTCCTGCCTAACTGTTCTTTGAGGACTGAAAGTCTTCGGTAGATGTTTATCAAGGCCATAAACACTGAGTTGCTTGGAGGTGTAATCACGGGACACCAAAAAAAAAAAAAATCTTTTTGCTTTCTAGCTACTGCTGGGTTGCATGCCAAACAGGTAAGAGGGACTCATTTACACTTCACAGGAGACAGCTGCAGCTAACTTGGCACAGCTCCTAGGTTTTCCCAGAGAGGTTTTTTTGGCTGCAAAGTATGTCGGTTAGTGACTATCATTTGGCAAAAGGGGTGGGGTGGAAAGGGAAAAGAACCTCACAAGAATGGGGAATTTTCCAATTTTCCCTCTGGCTAAAACAACTCCTGAGTGATTTCATTGTCCAAACAATTGACCAAGTAGTGGGTAGTTCTCAGTACAGTGTTGCTGACTGAAATAGTTTTGCTTTAAAAAAAAAAAGTCTACCCTGAAATTTTCTATAGGAACACATCCTTGACAAAATTCACCAACTGGAAAGTGTTCTAGAAAGATGAAATCAGAGCAACCATTTGGTAGAAGGGAAGGGGACAGCTTTTTAAGGGAGATGAAAAAAAGTTTCTTGTTCAACTTGGAGCATTTCAGCTTCTATTACATTTCTAGAGCATTAGAGCAAAGGAAAAGATACTACTCAGCACCAAACACTTTCTTCCTTATAAAATAGCTTCTTGAGATGGCCAGTTTTTCCTCCAACAGTAGTGAAGGCTGATTGCAAATAAAAGGCATACAGACAGTAATAGCTTCCAGCTTGAAACCAAAGCTTAAAGGCACAGCTTTCCTGTGAAAGATGATGTACAGGGAAAGTGGATGATGAAAGTGAGACAAGGCTTCCCTCATAACCTCCAGCTACTTCAGCATCAGGGAGCTGCATATTTGTAACAAAGTTAAACGCAGGAGGGTGCAGGGGGCACAGAAGAAAGATTAAAGTCACACTGGCATGGACCTGCTGCAGGAACCACCTCCAGCTTGCAGCTCTACTTCAGCCTCCTTCCCTGTGGTACTTGGGATGCTACTGCAAGGGGCAGAAACAACATAGTGTTTCTGTCATGGTAGAGCAGCGTCCTACTCCACCCCCCTCAGCTCAGCGATGGAAATAAAGCCGTGACCGTTTCCCTTGTCTAATCTGTCTCTGCAGACCTGTGGCACTCCCGCAGGAGCCTCTTGTGCCGAGTCTGAGTGTGGCGGTTTAAACTGTCGAACAGATGATGGAAAAAAGAAGTGTGGAGGACCTGGCTGCGATGGGCTGGTGACCGTAGCTCACAACGCCTGGCAGAAAGCCATGGATTTTGACAGAGACATCCTCAGTGCATTAGCAGAAGTTGAGCAACTCTCCAGAATGGTAATAAAAAAATAAAAAAAAAACCACCACAAAACACCCCACACTTTTAGTTGTAACACAAGTTTAGACGCTAATTGACAAAGTACGTGCCTGGCTTACTTCAAAATACTTCTTTTCAGTTGTGTAACTTCATCACGTTTGTAAAGATCCTCAGAAAAGGAGCTTGCTAAAGTGAAACTTCATGGATAACTCTAAACATTAGCCTGAGTTGTTTAAACTAGCATTGGTGGTATGGATCGTGGCCAGCTTTTAAGAGTGTTCTGTGAGTTTTATGAGAAAAAGCATTTCTCATTACTATTACCTCTGACTCCAACTGAATTTTTGTTTTAAAGCAGGCCTTAAAGCATAAGCAAATACGCAATCAAACCTTCTATTTTCCTCTTTAGGTTTCTGAGGCAAAACAGAGAGCTGATGAAGCAAAACAAAATGCCCAAGAAGTTTTGCTCAAAACCAATGCTACAAAAGAACAAGTGGACAGAAGCAATGAAGATCTGAGAAATCTTATTAAACAGATTAGAGACTTCCTAATGCGTAAAAACCTTACATTTAAATAATATTTTAATTCTGGATTTGTGGAAACTATCTTTAGCTCTGAATCATCTTCTTAAGGGGTAATGCAATAGTTGTGTGTCATCCCCCTGCTTTCAGCCAGACTTAGTGTGTATGATGAAATCTGGAACCAAGAGAAAACCAAGACAATAGGAAAGTGAGAGCAAACTGTTGCATGCTTGTGTTCGTTTCAGCTGAGGCTGTTGTACTGCTGTAGCTTGCCAAGTGTGTTCCTAAGTTCTGGCTAGAAAGACAAAGTACTATTAAAGGGGAGGAAAGTCAGCAATTGAGTTTCTCTCTCTGTAAGAAAGCAGGTAGAGGTTAAATGAGGGCCTTGTTTGCTAGCAAGCAGCAGCATGGCAAACCCATTCCTTCCCTGTTTGCACAAGGCTGAGTATACTATTAGCACAAATACATTTATGTGCAGCTGTTGGCTTCATTTCCTGTGGGCTGGCATCTCCCCCCCACAGCCCCAGCATGGTGTAGCTAATCACTGAGATCTTCAAACGGCTTCCGAGAGCTATGCCAGCAGGGCCTATGTGCCCGTGGGCCTCTCCTGAGAGGGAAGTTTCACCCTAAGGAAGCAGTTTTAACACCCTGATTTTCTTTAAGTCCAGGGGAGGAAGTTTCCCCATGATTTTCCTTCATAAGGGAGCAGTTGGACAAGAATTTGAGTACTGAGACTTGATGGGGGGAAGCTTTTACTTACATCTTTGTCATTTGTGTCCATCTATTAGAAGACAGCGCTGACCTGGATAGCATCGAGGCGGTGGCTAATGAAGTGCTGAACATGGAGATGCCAAGCACTCCCCAGCAGCTGCAAGCCCTGACAGAAGATATTCGTGAGCGTATAGAAAGCCTTTCTGATGTTGAGGTCATTCTGCAGCAGAGCGCTGGAGACATTGCCAGAGCAGAAATGCTACTGGAGGAAGCTAAAAAAGCAAGGTATGCAACGCTGTTCTGTATGAGCTGTTTTCCATCATCAAGAGCTTGACTGAGACTTCAATTTCATTGTATCAGAAAATGCAGAATTTAACTCGCCCCGATGCAGATCCTCATTCCTTCACTAAGGGGCAAAAATGGCCCTTTGCAGCGTATGACTAGTTGTTTTTCCAGTTCCAGGTAAAAGCATTGTTAGCGTTAACATAGTCTTGCTCCACAGCAAAGGTGCAACAGATGTTAAAGTCACTGCAGACGTGGTGAAAGCAGCACTGGAAGAAGCTGAAAAAGCTCAAAATGCAGCTGAGAAAGCCATCAAACAAGCTGACGAAGATATTAAAGGAACCCAAGACCTGCTGACCTCGGTGAGTTCTTTATGAGTATTTCTTAAGATCTAGAAACAGCACCAAGTCTGATATTTAGAAACTGATATGTCTGTCTAGGGAAGGCTCTTCGGTACTGCAAATTAAAAACCACTTAATCTAAACCATTCTTGCCTTCACATAAACTTTTGAGTTAGTATGACAGATGCTAGGGAACCATTTGCTCTTTAAAAAAAAAAAAGGCTTTTCTCATCCTGTATCCTGCACCACTGAAGTAAATGAGCAGGATTGTAGCCCTCTAACACAGCAGGTGTGCCAAGATCACTGGAAAGTGTGTTGGCATGGCCATGCTATCAGTGTCATCTACCACTGCAGCACGAGACTAAAATAAATGAGTGCTGGATTAAAGTGGTAATTGCTATAGGCTTGTTAGATAATGTATTTTCAGACTTCATCTCATAGCCCTCATGAGACCATAGTGCTATCTATACCCATGAGGCTTGGCCAGCGTAGAAGATATGCAGCTTCACAAGTCCGTTATTACATGATGGAGTCAAGTGTCAAACTTCAGTTTTGCCTGTGGATTAGGCAACTCTTGCACGTGTAATACAATCAGGTATTTTTTAACCATGCTCCTTAATGCTTTTGCAGCCCCATACATACCCCGCCTTCAAGCAGTGGGCTCTTTCACCTTGACTGCAATTGGCCACTTGTAACAAAACTAAAACACTGTTTTTTGTATCAGATCTATGGACATGAACTAATTAGCTGATCAGGGCTTATCCAGAAAGCTTAACTATTATAGTCAGTATCTTTTGAAGATGTAACTGTTGTCCCTCTTTCTTAGATTGAATCTGAAAATGCAGCATCTGAAGAAACACTGAACAATGCTACCTTACGTCTGTTTGAGCTAGAGAAGAGTGTTGAAGACCTTAAGCAAAAGGCTGCCACCAATTCAGAGAATGTGGACAATATAGAAGAAAAAATTATTACTGCAAAACAAAATGCGGAAGAAGTTAAAAAGGTGAGAAGCTCAGGAAAGATGCTAAGGGAAAGCCAAAAAACCCTCTCACCCCAGGTTTGGCTAAAGGAACATTAGTGAATACATGTGAATGCATTTCATTTATTGGTCAAGTACCAGGGACAAAAAAAAACAACCAAAAACATTTAATGCACTTACCAAAGATAGCTGGTTTTTTACTTACTTTGGTACCAGATAGAGAGAGAAAGAAGTATTGGGAAGTTTTCAGGTTCTAAAATAGCTGCAGCAAACCTGTCATGCTGTCATACTGGCAGCCTTTCATAGATTGGTTTCTGTCCCTCAGCTTTACTATATGCCACAGGAGAACTGGTAACTTTTTTTCCTCTTCCAAAGAGTATTTGTGGTTCTATGACAATGATAGGTTCAGGACAAACAACCCAGAATTTGGCATATAGAGAATCAAACGACAAGAAAAATCATTAGCTCAATATAAAACCAGAGTAACTTCTAAATATCAGAGATGCAAAATTTGCTCTGTGACCATATAGTGTTGCTCCCAATGTCTGCTACACACCTTCGTAATAGCAAAAGAATGCTCATTAACAAAACAATTGACAAATCTGCCAAAGGAAGTTTCATTGCTCCAATCTGTTGTCTACAGTAAGCCCATCAAGTCTCCAGAGAGACATTTGCTGCCAGGAGAGATGTATTATCCATCAAATCAATTCTTTCCAAACACTAAGTAGTATTTCAGGTGGCTGTCAAGTAAACACAAGAGACTTCCAGTACTGCTACAGCTTAACTTGCTTATTGGTTGAATTCAGTTGGGTCATAGAACTTCTTAACCTTGCAGGAAAAAGCACAGCTGAGAAACCAACCTCATGACTTCTCCAGCACCTTCACCTACACAAACTAGGCAGCTGTTCTCGTTACTGAGAGGCTAACAAGGGTATTCCTCCCCAAATGCAAACATTCAGCCAGAAGCAGTGCCAGTTCCTTACCATATGCAGCTTTCCAGCTGTACTAGGGGCCATGGCTCCCATTAGTTACAGTATTGTGTAACTGAATCCCATAAATCCTTGCCAAGTGTTGGTATTAAAGCCGTAAAACAGCCACAGATCTGCAAAAGGGCAACTGATGAGTCTCTGCCCCAGCTCTTAGAGTCCTGAATATTCAGTAGGAAATAGCCCAACACTGTTTCTGCTTTTGTTAACTGAGCTAGCAGTGTAGTCTCTCCTTACACCCGGATTAGTAAAGATAGAGGGAGGAAATGCAAACTCCCACTGCATTGTCTTTTGAATGAGCTCCATCTTGTGCTTGAATCTGGAACAGGTCCTCAATACCGAGCTGAACGACAAGTATAAAACAGTGGAAGATCTCATTGCCAAGAAGACAGAAGAATCAGCTGATGCTAGGAGGAAAGCCAGCATGTTGCAAGATGAAGCTAAAGCCTTGTTGGCTCAAGCAAACAGCAAACTCCAGCTGCTCAAAGGTAAGGCTGTTCTGAGGAGGTAGGTCATCATCTTAGAATATGGAGCAATGTCATGCTGTTAAACTGACTATTCATCAGCAGTAAGGGGGGAAAAAAAAGGAAGTTAATCCTTTGTTACTGAGGTTTAATCTGCTTTTGTTATTCTTATGGACACAACATAGTCTTCTGAATCAAAGATTTCTATAAAAAAGCTGAAACTTACAGTGAGACACAAACTTCTGTTATGGCACCTATCACTGCTCCAAGAACCACTACAGGGAAGCTACCATGCTTAGGACGAGGACTAACCCATTCAAAAGCAAGACTCCCATCTTTAAACAATACTACTAGACCACCCCGCCCCCCCCCCACCCCCCCATCAAAGCTATTAAAACAAAAGGTAATCAGGATATGTCAGTTCCAGTTTACAGATTAATTTAACATTTCCCATTGACAATTAAAGTTGATTGAAACAGGAGGGGGCAATCCACCCATAACTACCAGGGAGGGGGCTAAGTTTTCCTTCTGTTTTTGCCAGGCCAGGAACTCATTCTTCCCCCTAGCTGCTCCTGCACGGTTACAAAGACTCACTGAATAGTCTTAACCATAACAAGCCAAAACATTTCACTGTTCTGTAAAAGCCACCATACAGCAAAGAATGACACTTATTTTCAACATGAATCAAAGTATACTTTTGGATTTCCACTTACAGAAAATTACTCCTTGTTGTTTTATGTCCCAGTGTTCAGGAACAAAAAGGTGCCATTCCAGACCTTTTTTTTTTCCTAATCAGATTCCCTTCCACAGTAAAAATAAGTTTGAGTAGTAGTTTATCCGTAATGATAATGATTTACATTTTACTGCATTAAAACACCCCTAATTAAGCTGTTTTTCCCCTTCCTTTGCTGACAGACTTGGAAAATACATATGAAAACAATCAAAAAGTTCTGGAAGATAAAGCCAAGCAGTTGGTGGAGCTGGAAGAGACAGTTCGCTCCCTCTTACAGACAATCAGCCAGAAGGTTGCTGTTTATAGCACTTGCTTATAAATGGGAGCAGGAAATGCTTGTGTTCAGGATGGATTTTACAAGTATTACGCTAGTTCTTTTTGACATTACACTAAGACCTGATAAAGTGAACAGGTTTTATATTGACTTTCAAGTCACAGAACCAAAGACAAGTAACTTTTTGATGTTGAAAATAAACAGTACTTTTGTATCACTGTACCTACCTAGTATGACTCATTAAGTTCCCTCCTATTTTCAGTAGCTGAAACAGTGCATCGATTAATCCTTTAGCAAGTCTTGCTTTTAAACTGGTTAGAGATCTAATAAAATCTTGGCTCCAACTACGTAATTCTAAATAAGGGTTCCAATTACTATGAAATATAGGATGGTCACTCAGAACAAAATTACAAGTGAATGAAGAAATACCATCCTTGTGTGGTTAAGCTAGCATTTGTGCCACAGTACTCAAAAATGATTAGTTACCTCCGCATGATACCCATTTAGGCTTAACGCTAGTTTCACATCACTGATTATGCAACACTTGATATGCAAAGTGGAAACGGAAGTCAGCACTGAAGGGGTCAATGTGGTTTACATTTCAAGCACCAAATTTATGTGATAAACCAAGCTTGGAAGATCAAGCCTCTCTGGAAAAGGAACTACAAAAGTTCACAGGGCACTTAATGTGAATCAGTTAAGGAGCTGTACACAGACTTGCTCCCTAAGAACAGCTTGCACTTAAAACACAAATAAGGCTTTTTTCAAAGTGCAAAAGTAACATCCAGTTCACCATACTTAAGCTCAAGGAGTTATCTGTAGAACAGTGCACCTTCAGACAATTGTACGGTACTGCACAAATTGATTTACAGCATTCATCAGCTACACAAAAACTGCAACGTGCATTTACACATCCTGACTGCTAACTGACCTGAGGAATGCATCTGCGTATATACTTTGATCAGCACCTTACCTAACCTTGACTAACATCATCAAAAGTCAGTCAGGACAACTATGGCAGAATATATCACCACCTAAGCAAACTGAAGAACAGTATGTTTAAATAAATAATTACCCCTAAGCTCCGTAGGTTACAAATGCTAGAGCAAAATATCCATCACAGAACTGACTACCATACCAGCATCATACACCAGTCCACTGCCAGTATACTTAGCAGCTGTTACAAATACAATTTGCAAACTTCGCAACATTCAGACTTAACTGCCATCAGATCATTGACAGGTGGCTCAGTAGCTCATCTTATTTTTATCCTTACAAACACTCTTCATACACTTAACTAGAACAGGAATGACAGCGAGAGAAGTAACAATACAGTAACAATTTTAAGGCCTTGAATTTTATTTTCAAGTGTCCGGCAAACTATAGTCTACAGTATGATTTTAGTAGTATTCTTGATTAAAAGTTTCCCTGACTTTCCAAACTTCATTTCAAGTGAATAAAATGAGATACGAGAATTTGTAACTGATGAACCTCAAGGCTGAACTGCAGTAAGGGAGGTGGAAGGGGTGCACACAAAGTTGTTTCTGAAAAAGCAGGCCTTCTAGGAAGAACTTGCAAAGCACAAGATTAACACTTAATAGCATTTACCTGCAGCAGGTAGAAGTGATTCTGAAATGCCAAGATCTATTGGAAGAATCAAGTTTTTTTCCCCCCCCTCACTGTTGTCTCACCTTTGCTTTCCCTTCAGCAACTTCCTGCTAACACCCAAAAGCAGATCCACATTAATTCACTGAACCCAGCATATCCATGAACTGGATTATCTCATATCCTGGTGAAAAGCTTAATGAGCTGTCATGATTTAACCCCATCTACATTTAAAGCAGGAGTTAAAAAACCAAACCAAAACGCAGAACAGTATCACTGGTGTTTGTTGATTAACCGATATCTTAATAAAATGGTAACGGCATATATTTCCATCACTCAGTATGGATAATGGATCAATACTTGAATAAGAAGCTCTAAAGAAAGGTAGAAAGGTATAACCATCTCATCTATACACAAAACCAAGTAGCTTTTGCACCATTTTCTGAATGTACATTTCTCATCTATCATGCCATTGGCATAATGAAAAGGACATGCACAATACCAGCAGATATTAAGGTTTTTTTCAAGGCAGAAGAGCCTAACAAAAAAACCCAAACAACTACACACACAAAAGAAGGCACCCTGCAAAACAAAACTTAAAATGAGCTACTGGAATTGGGCACATTCCATATACGTGTTAGGGATCTTCCAAAGATGCCATTTGTTTGTGAGTTTCTTCACATATTCGACAACCTAGACACTAAAAGGAGTAACAGGGCCCATCAGCAAACAAAACCCAAGACGACCCTCCAGCCACGTTAAGTATTTATTAAGCTCTCTTGCTACAAAAGAGACAGAAAGAGAGCACAAAATACAAAACAGAAGAGAAGAAAGTATGTCTCAATTGTGTGGAGAGCTGACACTGCAGCCCTTATGTGTGGAAGGTGCAGAATAACCCTCATGTCATAGCACTTAACAGCAAGCACTGCTTCACTACCCAGTTCTAGCGTTTCAAGTTTGAGAGAGTTGGACAATGGAAGCTTTAAAAACAAAAAAGATTAAGTAGCAGTAAGATTACTTTTTCTTCAATCTTTCATTTCTCCATCAGCACTCGATTTTTCCCCTGATGAGTTTTCAATATGAAAACATGACGTGTGGAGAATCACACACACAGAGTAATTTTCTCTTTAAAAAGTCAATATAGTTTTAATTAACTATACGAGCCCCTCTTCTCCCAACATCCTAACACTACTAGGTCAAAACAAGTTTTGGTACTTGTATGCAAGAAGTAGGTTAAATACTAAAGTTAATCCTTTCAGAAGGAAACATGTTTTTGTGCGAAGTGCCAGCGGCATTGTAAGTGCCAGCATTCAACTGGTTTAGTCTATCACTACTTCAAATAAGAAAACAGCAGGTATGCTGGACACTTATTCAGAGTTTTGACCAGCACACCTGATAATCCCATGCAGCAGCGAAATGTTTGGTTTTGAAAAAGAGAAGAATTCTGTCAGGCTGTTTTTCTGCAACATTCATCATGTAAATAAACATGTAATTTTAAGTATTTAATTTACAGAGACTGGATAATTCCACTTGTTCCAAACTCTACTTGTTTAAATATTTGATGTTTAAAATGAAGAGATTCATTTAATTCAGTCCTAAAATCCTCAGACAGCCTTCCATAAGGGCCCACAGTCCATCTTCCAGGATGTCCTATACATGTACAAAGATCGGCTCTTTCATTTTAGAAGTTGATAGCTTTGCCAAAAGATGCCGCTAGGTTTGCTTCCCTGAAGGCTTCTGACACTGTCTGTAGAGAGCAAGCACAAAAAGGTACAAGTCATTAAGTTACAAGTAATTACAGCATGTCTGTGTAACCCTGGTGTTCAACAGCCCGTTTAGAAAAAAAAACTTACTGGATGGGCATGGCAAACTCTGGCTACATCTTCACATGATGCTCCATATTCCATAGCAAGGGCAGCTTCGTTAACCATTTCGCCAGCACCCTGTAATTTAATGGTATTTGTAATTAGCACAAATCTTTATGCAGTTGTCTAGGTTCTCCTGAATCACTAACAGCTTGTAAATAAGCATCCTTTGCTAAAAAGAAGAGTTGTATTATAACTAGCACTTCAGCTGTGTTCTAATATAAGTCATAAGTACTTAATCTATTTGGTGACTGTGCTCAAGCCCAGTATAAATCTAAACATAATTCTTAGTGAGAGTATTTGTTCTGTCATTACAGAGTTGTGCAAAATCTGGGCATTTTTCCACAACAAGATACCAGTCAGAAAATATCCACATTCTTAAAGCTACAATGTACATTATCACTGCTGAAACTTCCCCAAATCTTCCTTCTTTTTTTACAAGCACCACTTCTCCTAACTTGATGACTACTTTGCAACTGTGCAACACTAAATAAAAGACCCTTACAAGGCTAAGACAGCAGCACAATTTACAATACTTACCGCGCCTAAAATGTGAGCACCCAACATCCTGTCTGTTGATTTTTGACTAAGTATTTTCACCATGCCATCTGTGTCAGCATTTGTCTTTGCTCTACTGTTCGCAGCAAATGGAAATTTTCCGATTTTGTATTCTATACCCTACAAAACAGGTATGTGTTACTGAGTTAATGACCAACAAGAACAATGTAACCATACAGACAATTTGGTAAGTACAAGAACAGAAGCAATACAAAAATAAAAAACACGTAAGAGACACAGCAATCACCAAAAGGGGTATAAAGGGGTCTTAAAAAAAGATTATTTAGCAAATGAAGAATATTAACTTCACAGAATAGAAGTCATTAAATAGAAGTCATTGAAGAGACCCATTAAAAGAGAGTGGCGTGCAGGAGGGAATCATTCAATCATACACTCTGAGCAATAAATTCAGATGCAGAAATTCTCCTGGAAAAAGTAGCTAGATAAACTGCTAGACGATGAAACCATGCCCAAGATGGAAAAACAGTTTTCTGAGAAGAAAACAAACAGTACCTCTTCTTTCAGCTGTTCTTCTGATTTGCCAACCCAGGCCACTTCAGGGTGAGTGTATATCACAGAGGGTACGCAGTTATAGTCGATGTGAACTGCTCCCCCAGCCATCCCTTCTACACAAAGAATGCCTTCATCCTCAGCTTTGTGGGCCAGCATAGGTCCAGCAACTACATCACCAATAGCATAGATGCTATCAGACCAATGAAACAGAATAAGACACTGTTTAAAAACATCCTAGCACACCTAGGCTACCTTATATAATAGCCAGTTTGAAACATTGCTGAAAACTCTAATCAAAACAGATTAAAGTACTAAATTTCAAAAGAAATAAAGTATAAGAGAGCAGTTTCCACAGAATGACCACCCTTCAAGAAGTACTAGTGACATGAAATATACACAGTGACTTTTAAATTACAAAACTTCAAAGGTTGACTAAAAATCTTTAGTTCCTGAAATAAACAGAAATCTTAAATTCTCCTTTCAGAAAAGAAAGCTATATTCTGCAATTAAAAACAAAAAAAGTGCTTTAGTAGGTTAAGCTTTTAAAAATAAGAGTTCTGCTTAAAAAAAAGTAAAAAATACTTAGTCTTACTTACTTTGGAATTTTGGTTTGGAACCTGTTATTGACTGGGATTCTCCCCCTCTTATCAAGTTCAATTCCAATATCCTCCAGACCTAGATTTTTTGTAAAAGGACGCCTACCGATGCAAACTAGGAGCACATCACAAGTTATTACTTCTGCCTTGCCACCAGCAGCAGCTTCAACACTAAAGAAAAATAAGTAGGAAAAATGCTAAGCTGTAAGCTTTCAGCATTGTATTTCTCTGACTAGTAACTAATATGATCCAGATGGTGACCTACTGGCTGGATCTGGCATCCAAAACACTTGCATACAGCCCACCCCACGCTTCTTCCTTGCAAGAGTTGAGGCGTAGAAGAGGGAAGAAGGGACAGTGACTCTTACTACATTTGTTAACAACGCTTAGATACAGAAATTCAGGGTATATATATCCACTAGCAAGTAGCATGACCTGATGGGATCAAATCTGTACAGCAAAATAATTAGTGCTGAGTACTCAACATCCAAACTACATATATTTTGGGGTGGGGTAGGGCCACGTATTCTGAGCAAGCTTTCTTCTGGCCCAAGAACCAAACACCTGTTAGCAGCTGCCCTGCATCAGGTGCATCCCTCAAGGGCATCTTTGTGTTTAACTGCACCCAGAACAAGTTCAGTTCATGTGCTCTGGGAGCGCAAGAACCAAGGCATGGTAAGTGAGGGTAAGTAGGAAGTGTGTTTCAAAAGCATACTCCTGAACCAAAATGAAACCCTAAATGTAGAAACAGACTACATGAGAGATCCAACCAGCATCAGCGTGGTACATAAAGAAGCCCAAATCTAGGACCTTTACAATGGTGGGAGGACAGACTATCCCGAGGTATGGCGATACAGCAAATACAAGTCACCATATTAAGATTCCAGTGAAAACACATTTAAGCTTACTTTTGTTAAGTAACATTAAGCGTTTTCTTAAAACTCAAACTACAGTTTCTGCATAGAGAATACATTAACAAGAAAGAGAACCGAAGTAGTGTATACATACGGACTTTTACAAAGCAAATTTGCTTTATATGTTCTATACTAGCTGTTCATCTATAAGTCTTCAAAGGGCTTGAGCGTGGCCATTAAAAGACACTCTGGGGTAGTTTCATTTATTTCTGCTCAAAAGCAATAAAATCTCTGCCACGCTTATTTTGAGACAAGAGGAGGTATGGACAAAATAACCCCTTCAGTAAGCAGCCAAGAATTAATGGCTTGAAAATGACTGTATGAACAATCATGGGATTTATGTTAGTTATACCAGAAGCAAAGATCTTCCATGAAAAGAATGATTTAGAGTTCTGGTTTTATTACTGATCTCACTATAACAGCACTGGTTTTATACTAGCACACCTTCAACTCAAGTCAATGGAACCTCTCCTGTATAAGCAATCTAGGACTCAAACCCAAAATTATGAGCTCTGTAAGTTACAATACAGGATAAAAATTAAATTTCACTAAAGAATTACATTTCATCCTAAATCCATTTTTTCCTATTTAAAAAATAAGATCAGATTGTATTTTTAACTAGGTTTGATGGATTGGGAGGAAGACTATATATGGCATTCCTCTAGTTTTATGTTAAACACTTACGCTACATCGATTTTTCCATCTGGTTTCTTGGTAGCACCAGTAACTTTGGTGTTCAGTTTAAACTTAAGTCCCTGTTTCTGAAGAATACGTTGGAAGTTTTTAGAGATCTCCATGTCAATTCCCATTCCACCAACATGGCCCATGAACTCAACAGCTGTCACATCTGCACCGAGGCGCTGCCAAACTGAACCCTGCAGTCACAACAATATAGGTAAAAGGAGTTTGAAAAGGGAACTTCAGATTTCTTTACATTTACCTCAGACTGTAAACTTTTCAAAAGCAGGACAACATGTAACAGCAAAGTGATCAGTTTTTACAGATGTTACAGTGTAAAATAAAGCAAGTCCAACTTTCCCCAGCTTTTCCACAAAAAATGGATTTATCACTACTTGTTTGCATACCCAAAACTTCAATGATTGAATTCACGGAATTAAGCTTTTAAAGAAATAGCTAACAAAATAATTAAGTATTAATTAGGTACGTTTTAGGTTGTAGGTATAGAAAAATTAAAAATCAAGGAATCTGAATGTAGCTCAGAAAACCCGAAGGAAATTGCTTGTGGTGTTCTAATACCACTACAAACCAAATCAAAACAATACCACATTAGGAAATTTTATGCAATAAAATGGAACCACTGCTGCTTCTGTATGTATTTATAACCATAACCGCTATCATCAGCTTCACCAACAAAACCCATATACACCCTATTTACCTGCAGTTACCCACATCCATCCAACACAGTATTTCCAGGCTAAGCAACCACTAAGCAGATGTGTACATTTTCAAGCAGTTCTAAGACCAACAAATATACATTCTTTTTGAACCACGTAGGTCTGAGGCAAAAGGACTCGGACAAAGATGAACTAACAAAGTCTCCGCTCCATTGGTTGTTAGATAGAACACATACAATCACATCACATAAAAATTTTTTGGGATTAACTGCTACACACAAAAGTTTATACTGGCTTAAAATTAACTTCCCTTAAAAAAGGAAGTTCTTTCATCTATACATAGAGCAGGTACAAACCTCAGTGAAAGTTAAACACCACCCCC